GTAGCGAGTATCATTAACATGGGCAACATAGGACTCGTAGACTCTCCTTAAAATTCTATAGAAATCGGCGAAAATGCTTTAAAATAACTGAAAAGGTTAAAAAATGGCTTATTAGTTTAAATCGACGAAAAAGTAAAAAAAAAAATGCCGTACAAAAATGAGTCACTGGCTTTTGTGATAACATAAAATTATTGTCTATTCTAAAAAGCATTGTTTTAAAATGAAAAGAAAAAAATCATTAAAATCTGCCTCGTACTCATAATATTCGCAATAAATAATTCCTCAAGAGCTTAGATTTCCGTAAAATGTGGTTTTTGGAATTTCCCAATTTCGTCGTAGCTTGCGTGTCACCGGACCGTTGACTCTAAGCCGCTATTGTAGACTCAGAAGATTAGTAACGTCATTATTTGACCAGCGTGTGTGCTGGAGTTCTCTGGGCTCAAGGTCCTGATGGCCTAAGGCAGGGAGTGATAGCGGCGCGAGCGCGATGCAGCCGGATGCACCATAGTTGACCACAATTCTGCCAATTTACAGTATGTGTAAATTGTAACAAAAAAACAGAAAGTTAAAGTTGTCTTGTTATTTGTTGTTGGTATACTAAGTATTTTTTGTTCTTCGAGATACGTTAGGATGATATCTTTGGCGCTTCACTTAAGTACAGCCTTTTGGTCGTTTTATAGAAATCTCAAAAACCTGTCGTACGTAACAAAGCGTTTGTCAGCAAAATTACATAAGAATCATTTGTTCATCTAATTGAGGAGACTGCGGTCTTTAAATGAAATGGTCCAGCGTGCATGAGCTGAGCACCTTACGTCTGGTAACAATTGTGAAGACCTCAGACGACCTGCAGTGCAGAAAGCTTGGAGGGCGGGAGGGTGCTAATGGAAATAAATTTACTAATTAATAAAGTCTTTTCTTTAATTTTGGGTTTTGTAATGACTTATACCTTCACCAAATGAACGCCATTTCCCAGCAAATAAATAAAACAATAGTGGCAAGATGGTTTATTTTTAGGGTTAAATTAGGGATACGTGAAAGCAAATTAATCGGTAGCAAGTTCAGTAAACGCATGAACTATTCGCGTCTTCATTCGTTTATTAAATTATTCATTTTAGCATTAATATAAATAAAAACGGAGACCCAACAGAGAGTGGAGTTGCCTCCCCTTCTTTTGTTTTAGGATATGCGCCTACATGATCATCTTTGTTTTTCTTGACAGTGACGACACAGACTCAGGAAAACGACGAAAGGAAATTTTACGAATTGAAAAAATAAAACTGTTGCTAAAAACTTTATATTGACTACCCTTCTTAACAATTCATTTTACAAGATACCAATCTAGTATCTGCGAGCGTCCGTCACTCACGGCTAGATCGTAGAACAAATATTCATAGTCTCTTTAGACTCTTTGTGTAGTTTAAATGGGACGAAGTAATATGTTTGTTGAACTGAAACAAATGATCGAACCAAGAGACCGAGACAAATTCGATGTGTCTCGGTCTCATTAGGCGGGGGGGGGGGGATAATGCTTTTTTTATCATGTGATATACTCGAAGAAATGTCTTTAAAAACAGTGTTTTTTGAAAGCAACCAAAACGCGTTTTGGACAACGGCACCTTACAAAGGTTATTAGTCGCTCATTCGCTTACTTTCGGCGAGATGCGTCGTCGATTGGCACAATTCTTAGTCGGTTCCGTCTTGGTCTAGGTTATTTTGAAAGAATTATAGAAAAGCAAAGAAAGTTGTTTTTCGTTGTATTGTTTCAATGCACCTACGAGTGCACCTGTGAAAAGCCATGAATTACCACACTTTCTTTTCGACATTTTTATGAGTTCTTACGACTTGTTTCATCAGATTGACGATAATAAAACCTAATGAAATAAAAAATAAACAAGTATTTTAATCGATACTTTTTCATGTAACATTTAATATCCGATAATGAATGAGTCGGGTAACGAAAATGTTTATAGTTTATTTTTATCAAAAATTTCAAACAAAAAAAAATTTCTTGAAAAAATGGGTAGGCGCCTCGCCTAGCTAGTTTTACGATATTTGTATTTGAAGTTACTGTAATTAGCTTCAGGGTCAATGAACCTCACTTCGATCGAGTTGTCGTCGAGTCTCCTTTGGATCCTTGCAGCAAATGCTGAAAAGATCCCCTGCCCAATTCTGGACATGTGAATGTAGCCTCTTAAATGTCAGATACAAAGTAGTTTTTGACACTAATTAATAAATAAAACTAGTGGTGGTACAGAATGGCACAGACTTTCCCGTACTAGTTTTCTAATTTCTTTGGTGTGACCTGGCTTTTCTGTCTTGCCACATACTTTTGCCAGTTGCCGTCTATCGCTGCCCTAAAAACATCTTTTCAGTTTCCTAATAGTAGAAACGAAATATTCAGAATATTAAAGGAGAGTGAAACCTGGCCTTAATGGCAATTTTCGTTTTCAATTTTCATTGAAAAATTTGGATCCGTGTTTTAAGAAAATGGCGTTTAAGTGTTGCTATAAATGCGAAATTTGAAGCTCTTTTTTACAGAATTTGTTTGCGTCCTCGAAAACCTTTATTGGAAGTCATTTGGATCACTTGCACACACAAATGCAGTAGTGTTTTACAAATTTCCGGAAATGTGCATATTAAAGGCGTGAGAGATATTTCAAAACAAAAAATATATGTGTTCTTTTTTTTTTTAGCGAAAATCGTTTTATGTCATCTTATACAGCGCAATTAGCACTAGCTTTTCATAGGAAGCTGGTAAGTTTTCGGATAACTTTAAATGACATTATTTAAAGTACATGTACTCATAAATACAATAATGTGAACAATTCGCTGCTAATGTAAATATTAGTGCGCTAATGTAAATATAAAAAACGTGAGAGATAAGTCAAGAAAATACTTTTTGTAATTTTTGAAAAAAAACAACAATAGAGCAAAATGACGGTTGTGTCATCTCGTAGAGTACATTTTGCACTTTCCCTACCAAAAGTTAAAAGGCACAATTTGGAGCCATTTTCGAGAAAATCTTGTTTGTTATTTTTTTAATGTACCTACTGCACACATATTGCGCGAAAACTACTATAAATTTAAAAAGAATGTACATGACCTTAATGAAAGAATGGAGAACAAATTTCATTTGAAGGAAAAATGTATATATTCAATTTAATAGTTTAAGAAAGACCCTCAAAAAAATTCAAAACGTTTGCATTTTCAAAAATTTTAAGTTAACAGTGAAAAACGAGCATATGCCATCTTTGTAAGTGAATTTTACTCCATTCTTTAAAAAAAATACATAGAAAAATTTGGAGCTTTTTTGAGAAAATTTTGAGTGTCACAGGGGCTTCATGTAAAGGCGGCTCCGACACATGCGGTATTCCGTGAATCCCGAGTAGTGTGGACGGGTTGCTTGCGATTCGGCGGGCGCCAAACATTCGGTATTCGCCCTGTCTACCGCATGTCGGTCTTAAAGACACACCTAACACATCAGCCAAACATTCGCCAAACACATCAGCTGGGATTGGGCGAGCGGCCGCTCGCTACTCGGCGAATGCCGAATGTGTGGAGCCGTCTTAAAGTAGAGTAGAACCTCGCTAATCCGAAATTTCGGGTAATCCGAACAAAATTCGGGATGGAGGAAAAAAAACAACAACTTAAAATGCTTATTTGTAGTGTAAAAGGATTTAATAATTACTTTAGAACTGAATGACTAATTATTGAAACATTAGTCGAATTGCAAAGGTTATTGCACTGTTAACTACGGTGTATTTCACATGGTTATTTACCAGTAATTTTCACTTTGAAGGATCTTGCAAAATCGGTAATAATCTTTTGCCGCGAGAAACTCAGTGTGCTTGATGATACAATCGCTACGCTACGTTGCCATTTTCTCACGTTACGTTGCATTCTCTTGTAATCCTATAGAGGTATTTGTATATGTACGATACTTTTTTAGGATAATCCGAACATTTCCGAATCCGAACAGACCACGCCCCAATTAGTTTGGATTACCAGGGTTCTGTTGTACCACCAAATTTTAAAGAAAGTTTTTCAAAATCGCACCGCTCGAGTAGAGTCAGATCGAGCGGAGAAAATCCATTTTGGAAAATATCCTTGTGTTCACAGACGAACGGACGTTTTGAAAAAAAAACACTTTTTCGGTATCAGAGGACCCCGAAATGTGTATTTCCGTTGAAATGTCGAAATCGATTTTCTGCAGCTTTACAAAACTTTCTCGATACTACGTGTATTACTCCATATATACGTACGTATACGAGAACGTAATAAATAAACGTCGACCACTCGGCTGTCAATGAGACCCGAGTCGGATTGCGATTATCCCCGCGGACACAAATCTGAAACTCCTCTAGCAGAATGGCGTCCAACTTGAGAGGCTCGGGAGTCACATTGGAAATCGTGAATATAGTGGGGATACTGTCCTCGATCAGTTCCATCCACCAATGAATGAATATAAATTTTATTGTTTCCAATCTCAAAAGACGCAGCAAGAGAGAATCTAGAACTTGACCTCTGTACTGATTTCTAATAAAATTCGTAGAAAAAGACACTTTCACGTGTCCCGTCACAACGAAGTCATGTTTAGTCCAAATGGTCCGAAGTTTGGATATTTTTCGCTGAATAGACGTTTTAAAAGCTTCTCTTTAATCGTTTAGTCTGTAGGAAGGTGTCGCCTTATAAATTGCACACCTCAAGTTGTAGGTGTCGTTCTCGTTCCTCGCAACTGCTTTTGCTTGCTCTTGACTGTTAATTCTTCATCAACTTCGTTAGCCTATTTTTGCAACATGACAATATATATATTCAATGAGCTAAACTATTTTTCGTACTTTTCGTGAAGAAGAAAATGTTCTTTTCAAAGTTTTTTGCAGGTCGCACAAAATGGCTTCATGGGCCGTCAGTTGGAAACCCCTGCCCTGGCAGGAGCGGCTTCCTGTTTCTTAATCTTTTCTGTCTGTCCGGTGCTTCATTCTGGACTGCTTTGTTTACAGGATGACGGCGAACGAGGAAATGTGTTCATGCGGCAAATCCAGCCTATCGCAGCGTATGTGCCCTACATGACATGCGCCGGTAATCACGAGGAAAAATTGTAAGTGAAGATAATATAAAACTGTGGTGACCAGATCTTAAAAAACAAATAATAGGACATTGTGATTCTTGATAGAATAAAAAAAGGGACACGTGAACATTAAAAAGCAACAGTACACGGTGTAGTAAATTACACTTTTTAAACGTTAATGGAAATGAATAGCACGAATAAAAAGAAAATAAGTTCGCAATGTTAAATTTATTTCAATTATTTATTTGTAGAAATTACGTTTTGTAATAGTAGCACATTATTTGCTATGTAATCTTGGAATTCGATTTATTTTATTTGCACTTGTATTCATTATAAAGTTGGTCCGTATTCCTCACTTAAGAATGCTTGCGAAGTTGCACAAAAACAGAAGCAAAAAAAATAGTTTCTAGGTAACGGTATTAATAGTTATAAAGTATACAAACTCAAATGACACGATAGCTCATTTTTCCTTTCTAGACCACGTCATATACCCACCACCACACTCTCTCCTCTCCCTTCCGTATTCAAACAGTACGAGATACGTGGTTACGAGGTACATGACCGTATGATCTACTCGCGCTTGCGTTTTGTAAACTAATGCAAACCCAACGGAATACATTAAGTTAAATTGAAACTTCTGAACGGCACATTATGCGGATTAGTCATGGTCACAAAACGGGACATTTTGGTATCCCGTTTTTCTTAAAAAAAATACGGGACAGGGACTCGAGAAAAGAGACTGACCCACTGACCCGGCTGACCCACCGTCCGGTCACCTTATTTAAAACACAACTTGGTAATTAACTGAAAATTTCGCTTCTTTACTGATGCCGCCAGTAGCATTTTGTAGAGTTTACATAAATGTTTCAAATGAATTTTATTTATGAAACTTATTAAAATAAAATTATTAATATTCCTACGTGAATATGAAAAGTGCCCTCAATCTTGCCGCTGCGAGTGTTACAAAAGCAGGTGACATTACTGAGATTAATTACGGTCTCGCGCACAATGAGTTCTCAATAGACCTCGGAATTTTAGGCACAAAAAAGCGATGATTTATGCGTCTAAAATAAGTTACTAAATTATGAAATTAGGCACTATTAGAGACGCTTTAGGCACTTCAAATATGTTACAAAATTACTAAACCAAACATTTCAAAACATTATACATGAAAATTTATGATTCTGGCATTTAAAACTGATCACAAAAGAGTTACATCAGGCACTTTTTATTTCTCAGGAAAGTCAAGTGTTTTCGAGAGTGACTATTACCCGCGCACGTTTTCCTTGAGCTCTCGCTTCGTTAGTTGCAAGAAGAGTGGGGAGTTTTGGTTATTTTGACAAAAGGAATTTTGTATCAAATTTGTAGTTTGCTTTTCGATACAAAATATTTTCTATTACACGGTAGCGAACATTTCCGGTTATCAGATTTTGTCTACAACTCTCGTTGCTATCGTTTATTCTTCATTCAACTAATGTGGGCAAAGTAGTGGGGGTAGGTATCCCGGGGCTCAAGAAAACGTACGCTTATAATACAAGCATATTATTTTATTTATTGGGCACATGCCTTTAACCCCTGTTAACATGCAACACTACTGGTTTGTTAAGTGCACTTTAACTTACCTGTATGTTAAGAAATTTAACATTCTTAGCAACGTAAATAAACAACCATCGATTCATCGCAATTCAAATGTTTATTTAAAAAAAAGAACTGGCGATATTTTGAACAAATCAGAATGAAAATATCTCGTATTAGTTTCGGGGGTAATTATTGATAATTGTAATATTAATAGTGCAATTAAAAATGTGTATTTTTAGGTAAATTAACCTCATTTTCCTGGCATTCCACCTAATGAAACGCTTCTCCGGAAATCATATTTACAGATCTGAAGGTGTCGCCGCGTCAACTTCCTCATCGAACGTCATTTCTTTAGGTAGCTTTAGGTTCAGGAGAATTATCTTTTCTCAAGTCACGGTATACGAATATTGTTTAAATTGATATATCGCAAGCAACACCCCGCCATATCGCAGTAACGTGCTGCAGCAATAGAATTTATTTGTTTACTATCGTAGTAATGAAAATTTCCGCATATGTCATGAGATTTTATGGTGACCGATAAAATGCTGAACATACGACGAAATGTTTCAGTGTTATTACTGCTTCGTCCAAATTAAAATCTGTTCTGCTACGATCCGCCTCTATTTTTAATTTTGCAGTATGAACACTCATAACATTTCTAGGAGTGTTAATAGCTATATCAGTGTAGCTGCACCGGGTATGTGTGCAATTGCTTAAGAAGTGCGTGCTGATCAAAAACGAGTCTGAACACACTCTTCGTATTGACTTGCAGAGCTCATATATTCGTTGCTTTGGGTGAGAGAATTTCGGTGCCTAGTGGATTGCATTTTTGATCAGGGAATATTCGAGTTTCGGGAAATTCTTGAAAGTATTTGCGTTCCGATATAACAAATTTTAAAAACTGTCTAAAGAAAATGTCAATTAAAAATTACTTGTTTTAGACAGTTTCAGGCGAAAAAATTAAAATAGGCAGCAGCTGCCCTTTAAAAACATTTTAGGCTCTGTTAGATGCTTTCTATAGATCTACTTTCTTCATGATTCGTAAACATCTGCAGTTGTTTTCCACAATCTCGTAAAGTGGCTAAATAAGCATTTGTTCTAAAATCCTAGGTCTAATTATGAAGTATTGGAGTACATAATGAACGTGTGTGGCAACAACGCACGATAACGTTAGGAAGCGAACAACTTCCCTGCTTCAGAGACGCCCCGCCGTCTGCCCCGGGGTCTATTCCAGATGTATTACCCAACGGAAAAGATAGCTAATGTCAACAACGATTACGCAGTGGGGAGCACACAAAGACCACGAAGCCAGGGATGTCGAGTGCAGCCAGGGATGAATCCGGAAACTATTTCATGTGTGTGTGGGGGGGGATTTCAGTATGGACCTCCACAAAAATTTTGGAAATATTGCTTTTAATGTTAGTTTGTAGTAAAACGTGTACAAATATATTAATAATGGGGACAGTGGCTGTTAGGTTGTACAACCCCTATATGTAATCTAAGATATCTTAATATCTTGGGAATATACATTTTCCTTTTAATGTCATTCGATATTCAAGATATTGAAGCAATATCGATGAATATGAAATCGTTTTGAAACCTAAGAACGTTCACTTGCCACTCTCTCCGGTACCTGGTGCCTTGCCAAGTATTGCACCACGCTCTTGAATATTTCTGTGTTTACTGCTTTAACTCTTTGCCCTGCCCTTCGATTTAACATGGGCAACGTAGGGCCTTTTGGTTGGGCAACCAGACAGATGGCGCTGGTTAGCGCTGCTTAGCGACGGAGGAAGTCTCAGGGAAATACCAAAATTCTATATTTGTCTTGCTCGCTGCAACGTAATTATGTGAATTTCGCTTGTTATTAAAAGTACACAAGTTTCAGGCGCGATTGCAATTAATGTCTTATTAATTATTATTTTATTTAATGAGGCGCCAATAGTAAATGCGCAATTGATTTTACGGTTGTTTTTAATTTTTTTTTTTTATAGATTAGACATGTTAGCTTGATGATTCAAATGTACAGCCTTGATGAATTCTTTGGTAAAACGTTTTAATTCACTGCTGAAACTATGGGGCAAATTAGTTTAATGCTTTAAGTTCTTATCAGGCGTGTTTCGGCGACATAAAAATGCTTATTGTCGCGATTTATACGGTTTGGTTTGTTTTTATTGACGAATTCCCGGGATGATTCAGTTTCTGTATTGTAATTTCCATGCTAAATTATTTCAGATTACGCGTGTTTTTACCGTTATAATAGATGCTTGTTTTGGTTCTTCACACTTAAGCGGTTCATAATAACGAGCACCTTTAAGGACATTAAACATTTCAAATGTCCCCGCAAAGGCGACGGGTAAGGCGCGGGGCGACCTGCGCCGAGCGCCCGGCATTCGACTGGAGTCGGCGCCCTTCAGAGTGCTCCCGCGGAGCGATCTCTCGGCTTCTGAGGCGACTTCCCGTTAATGGAACTTGTATGGCCGCAGTGGAAATTTCGCGTTGCGGATTACCTTACGAGCACGTTCAGATCTGCGCAGCAGGCGAGCATCGCGGCAGCGTTTTATTACCTGCGGATTTACGAACGCAGTCGGACGCTTTTCCTGCCGCTGCCGCTCGAGTTTCTTTGAGGTCCGCCTGCCTTCGGGAGTCTTCGCTCCCCTGGATCGAGCTCCTCTTCCTTTTGTTTATCGGACGAGGAATAGTCACCAAACCCTGAGTCATACGTGACGCTCCGGTGTGAAGGGTCCCGCGGATTCCGCCTCCGCGTCTAGCGCGGAGCGTTCCACACCGCACCCGCTGCGGATCTCCCGCGCCGGTCTCTGAGAGCCTGTAATGTATAGAAGCTCGCCCCGGCCCAGCTGAGGGGCCAAGGTGGTAGTGCAAAGTCGGCTCTCGGGCAGCCTCCGCCAGTGGGACTTCGATAAGTTCTTTGAGTTGCTGAAGAAAGGGAACTGGAGACTATGGATAAATTTAATTTCCGAGAAACCTCTATTTTTTGACATTTAAAAAAAATGCAATGACACAATGCAATTTAAATATAACTTTTTAAATAAAAACATAATATGTACATTTATTGTTAGTTTTAATACTTTAGAGATAAATTTATAAAGATTTTATGACTAACACCTAATAATGGAAATGTTTGTGCATTACTGCACCCTACAGGCGAATCATAATGTTAAACACACCAAGATAACTGACTTTTCTCATTAGTAATTTTTTAAACTGCATATTGATTTTTTTAAATTTATTTATTATTTTTACTTTTTTTACGTAATATCTTTCCTGTGTTTCTTTAAAATTTTACTGAAGTTTCACTGTATTATTTTACAATGAAAAGTAATGTTCCGTTATTGTTTTGCAGCAATTTTACCCACTATCGCAACCGTTTTGGAATGCCTGGAAACACAGAAGGTCTCTTTTTCTCTTTCAACATGGGAAATGTTCACTTCATTAGCATTTCAACTGAGGTTTATTATTTTCTTCAATATGGATTGAAGATGGTTGTGAAGCAATATGAATGGTTGGAGAAAGACTTGCAGGTCTGCAATGGAAATTTGATTAGCTTTTTTACTTTTTATTAATTTCTGGGATTTGCTTGAATTTCTTCTCATACAAAATATTTTAGAATATTTTCATTGTTTAGGAAGCTACAAGTCCCCAAAATCGCACACTCCGTCCTTGGATTGTGGTGTTTGGTCACCGTCCTATGTATTGCTCTAATAACAATACCGATGACTGCACATACATGGAAACAATGACACGTGTTGGACTGCCTGGTGGTTTGTAAGTATATGATACAATATAACTTGCAATTGTGTCTAGGATTGCTGCCTCTTTATAACTAGATATCTTGAATAGGGTGGATTTTTACGAAGGGTCTTCTTTTCTTTTCTCATTAAAACAATGTCTTTTAGTATAATGATTAACTTAATGTTATGTCAAAATGAACTAGCCCATTTTTATATGTTGTTGTTTTTGCATTCTTCATCAGTTTTGATTAATATTTTCAAACCACCATCAGCACTATTGTCTGATTTTGCGATAATTAAAGACAGAGATTTTCTGATGTACAACAGACCAAACCAAACCAAAAGTTTGCAAGCTGAGTTCACTTGAACGAAAGGAAGAAGCCTTCTATACATCAATAACATATCCAACATTGAGTTATTCATCTGAACTGGTTTTGATCAAATTTTTTACATCATTTTTCTTTGCTTTTATGGCAATTTAAAACCATTTTAAGAGCATTTTATTGGTCATTTTTGGCAATGTTTTAAGTCATCAAAATCCACCCCTAATCATGAGTCATCATTACAGATTCAGGCCATCAATTAACATCTTTATATTTATTCCTTTTTTTAGCTTTGGGCTAGAAGAAATGTTTTACCGATATGGAGTTGACTTACTAATTTGGGCTCATGAGCACTCATATGAGCGACTTTGGCCTATCTATGACTACAAGGTACTCAACGGAAGCTATGAAGCTCCGTACACCAATCCAAAGGCCCCAGTGCACATTGTTACAGGATCTGCTGTAAGTATTATTATTCCCTTGCTGTCTTGTCACACGAATAATTGTATTTGTGAAAATTTTGCCAGTGAATTTCGTTTGGTACCCTTCTAATCATTTACTGGCCAAGAAAGGGGCAATTGTTACATGGGTAAAAGAATTTCTCATAATTATGTAACTTTAATTTTATCTGAAGTATTCATTTATCAATCGATTCAACTCCTCATTTCGAAGACCCAGAACAGTTTCAAAAGATCCCATTGTTCCAGGATAATAAAGTATGTTGCTTCATTGTCCAGGGTTAATGAATCCCAGTTATGAATAGAATAAGCACACTTAGTTATAATTTCATCTTTTAATAGGTAAAATTTAACTTTTTTTAAAAGGCCAGCATGACTTTCTTTAGACACCACTATTGGTCCCATGAAGCTCAAAACTAAACAAAATAACAATGGAGGCTTCGCTCTTACTCCAAACATGGAACTTATGTCTTCTAGTGATGAGGTTTAGAAGAAGGATAATTTTCTTTTTCCTTGTGTTGTATTTAAAGAATACGACAAAAACATCTCATTAATCTCTCACTCTCATTGCCATAATTTCACATAAACCAGTATGTTTTCAGAGTTTTTGTTTTGAAACAAATTCAGGGGGTAGAACAGCAATTGCCCATTACAAAGTTGAGTATCTGAACACTACCAAAATGTTTCAAATTTCAAGTGGCCACAATTGCAACAAAAATTGGATTTAAAAATAAATAAACAGAAAAAAATGTTAGTGTTTTTAATTTTTCTCCTTCCCTTTTATTAATCTCAGTTAATGGAGGTTCTAATCAATATATTTTTGTACAGTGCGCCAGGAAAGTGTCTCCATAGTGGCACCTTGCTGGTGAGAGTGCTAACAACAGAAATTATATTGGTGGCACAAGCTGTAACTTGTAACAAAAGAAAATCTTTTCCCCCCTACGTCACACACAGTTTTTACAGCTTTTTTGACTGAATAAATCTACGTCTAATGTATAATGCACACTCACCACAGTCATAACAGATGCTGGAAATGTCCCTTTACTTGTTTCCCAGTGATGTGGTTGCTACAGTCATAAATACAATTTTTAATAGAATTCCCTGCTTTGGCTTGGTGTGGAGAGACTTTCCTGGGGCACTTTATTTTATTTATATGTACTGTACTTATTTATATAAAGGTTTTTTTGTTTTTGTTTTTAGGGATGTAGAGAAATCCATGACAATTTTAAGGGTAATGCTCCGGCTTGGTCTGGTTTCCGGTCCACACATTATGGCTACACACGAATGAATGTAGCCAATAATACACACATTCATTTAGAGCAGGTGTCTGTTGACCTAGTAAGTATATTTAGAAATACAATCAAATTTTCTGGATTAAATTATGTTATACACTAAGGTATACAAAACATAGATCTCATTTTATCTTTACAAAAGATGCCCCCGGACCTTTTAGATAAAACACTTAATTTATGACACAGGCCTACCGAGTAGCAGTAGCACAATGTGATGGTTTGAAGATTATAACTCCTGGAAGATACTTGTAAACCTGATTGGGAAGTGCCTTAGCATTTACTTGCAAATTATTTCTTGGAAATCAGTATCTAGGGGTTCCAAACAATATCCAACAAAGCCTATATGTTTCAATTAATTTTGTTATTTGTGTAGGTTTAAATTTTGATTTAAAATCTTAAAACCAGAGTTGGAAAAAAGAGGGTTTTTACTTTCTTATATACTACTTATTTAGTATAGAGAAAGTATTGAAATACTGCAGCAAACATTGGTGATTTATCAACATAAAAACTGATCTTGTAGCTCCCTAATACCAAACAACTGGATAATTCCTCTAACATGTGTAGTCAAATTCCATGTTTTGTATTGCCTTGATAAAATTGATTTATAACGAATTGTATGTGCAGTTGTAGCCAAGCTTGCAGATAACCATATGCAGAATTTTTACCAAAATTTATATTCTCCGATTGATGGCTGATGTCACAGCACCTTGAATTTGAAAAAGAACCCTGTACCTCAGATAAATATATATATCAAAATTGTTCAAGTCCTATTTTCATTCAACTCTTTGAATTTTTGAAAATTGCAAGAGTTAACACTTTTTCTGCTTCTTCCTACAGCTTAAGTATTGAAGATAAGAGATTTATTCCTTTGTGAATTGTCAAAGGCAGCTCTTTGCCACAGACATATTTTTGGAAAATAGTACACAACCTTAATCACGCTATATTTTCTATGAACATGCAATATTTTCGAAAATTGTAAAACAATAAAATTGTAAAACTACAAGATTAATGATAGAGATTTATCCCTTAAAAAAATATGCTCTTAAAAAATTAGGTCTTTAAATAACGTCATGTACAATTTTTGGAAAAAACAAGTAGTTAAAAAAGAAAGAAAAAAATGTTTTCTCAAAAAGCTTAGACATTTTTTCTTTACCGTCTTTTCTGAAGTAGTGCAAAGTGCACTAGCAAAAATTGTGCCGAGCCGATTTCTTGAGTGTCAAAAATTGCAAAAAAGTCATTGTAAATCTACAATATCGATGATCTATTTAATTCAATGAAATCTGTTCTTTAAATAAGGTCATGGATAGTTTTTTAAAATCTGAGTAGGTTTATGTTCTTTTTGCATATTCGAATTTGCCGCCCTCGTTTGCTGAAGTGTCCTTCACAAGGTATCAGGTTGCAATGCGACACTACCAACATCATCACATGGCAGTTTGAAATGTCAGTTAGTCATGGAATCATTTCTAAGTGTTGTGCAATAATGTTTCTTACTGCCTGGAATACAGTTTTTAATTGTCAAATTTGTGTTGATGGATTAACTAAAAACAATTTTTTTCACCTTGCGTGCTGTGACTGGTAAATAGTTGCACAGGCAATGGCAGAATGTGTTGATATGAACAGAAATTGCAGTATTATAAAATTAAGTCATTGTTACTAATGTAAGAAAGTAGCGCCATTAGTTTTAAAACCCAAACCTAGAAGGTTGTTGTTTTTGATTTTGTATGACATACTTATTTTCATCGTTTGGACAGAATTACATTTTAAATTAACATCATTTGTACTGAAACACATACAGAGCGCACGTGGTGCATCCAAATACTAACCCCTCCCCCAGTTTTAATCTTTATCGGTAACAAACATTTTCTTTAATACACTGAAGAGGCAAAAAAACTAATACACCTGCCTAATATCATGTAGTGCCCATGTGAGCACACAGAAGTGCTACAACACGAAGTGGCCTGAACTCTACTAATGACTGAATTAGTGCTGAAGTTAATTGACACCATGAAACCTGCAGGGTTGTCCCTAAACTCGTAAGATCTCTTCTGAACAACACGTTGCAAGGCATTCCAGATATACTCAATAATGTTCATTTCTAAAGATTTTCGGGGCCAGTGGAAGTGTTAAATTCAGAAATGTGTTCCTGCCAGCCTGGAGCCACCCTGTAGTAATCCTGTCCTGCTGGAATTGCCCAAGTTCATTAGGACATTTATGGGTGCAGGTGATCAGACAGGATGCTCATGTGAGTCGTATCTAGTCCCATTTTACTCCAACTGCACATGCCCCATATCATCACAGAGCCTCCACCAGCTTGAACAGTCCCCTATTGACATGCAAGGTCCATGGATTCATGAGGTTGTCACCATACTCGTACACGTCCATCCGCTTGAAACAATGTGATATAAGACTCATCCGACAGTGTTTCCAGTCATCAATAGTCTAATGTTGGTGTTGACTGGCCCAGGCAAAGCGTAAAGCTTTGTGTAGTGCAGTCATCAAGGGTTCACAAGGGGGATCATAGACTCCGAAACCTCATATCGATAATGTTTCATTGAATACTTTGCATTCTGACACTTGTTGATGGCCCAACATTGAAATCTGTAGCAATTTGTGTAAGGGTTGCACATCTGTCAGAGGAAATGATTCTCCTCGGTCGTTGTCGGTCCTGTTCTTGCACGATCTGTTTGCGGCCGCAGCAATGCTGTGAATTTGATATTTTACTGGGTTCCCGCTACTTACAGTACACTTGTGAAATGGTTGTATGGGAAAATCCAAATTTCAACCTCAATTCAATTAGCAACCTCAGAGATGCTATGCCCCATCTCTCTTACATAACACCACGTCCAAACTCACTTAAATCGTGATAACCTGCCATTGTAGCAGCAATAACCCTCTGCCAGCCTCTTATATAGTCGTTGCCAACCGGAGCACTGTATTCTAATTGGTTCCAGTCTCTTTATTTCAATACGCATGGCTGTACCATTTCCCTTTTCTTCCTTTGGCTCTTAAGTGTATTGTTGTCTGAGTAACGTGACTTGTACCAAACTCGCAAAATACAGTTGTATTTTATTGTCAATTTATTTTCTTTTGTATACTAGTTTGTATGTTTGTTGTGATTAAATTTAAGTTCATAATTATTACTTCATGAAATTTTATGATTTTATTAGAAATAATTTTAAAAATCATGAAAATATTAAATGTATTTTTATGTTCTTTCTAAGGGTGTTAGTTTAACTAGGTGAGTTTTTCGTGGGCTGGTTTTTTCACACTATTGACAATTTTAGTGCAAACACTCTTGCAATTATGAATTCATGAATATAGTTTAAGAGAAATTATGGAATATTATAACAAATTTGGATGAAGGTTTTTCACACTCTATTGGCAATTTCAGTGCCAACAATCTTTTGTAACTGGGAATTTATATATCCTTATAATTCTACTTTTTATATATGATACAGAATAATAACGAGAGCAGCACATTTAGTTAGCCTCTGTGTCATGCGACTTATATTTAACATGACTCCTTCAGCAAAATTTTGTAAATTCTTATTTGCATCTTTTGAAAAGTCAACCTTCTTCTTTGCCCTATTGTAACTGAAATAGATTTTGCCCATCTAATATGGTCTTATCAGTTTTTACTGATACCGAAACTTTTAAAAACAATAAAAATTGTTACAATTTTAAAATCTCTGATACTGTTTTAGAAGCATGATAATTCATTTTTCTCTTTTTGTTTTGCAGGAAGGAATGGTGGTGGACCAATTTTGGCTCATCAAAGAAACACACACAGCCTTCACACAATTATGAAATGACTAACTTGTGACTAAAATAACCCAAACAGAGCAAAATAGTTTAATCAAACACAAGTCCAGAGACTGCAGATGCTGGGTAGACACTGGTTAGATTTTAATTCTCATGTGTAATTTTTTTATCGGCTACATGACCTTCAGTTTATTGAAGCCAATTCTAACAAGCATTTTCTTTTATGTAGGTTATTTTTATATCAGATCGTTTACCATGGTGAAATACAGGAGCATTTAGAATAATATTTTAGTTTTTTAAGGGTAACTTTCTTTAACCGATGATGAACAATCAACCATTCATGGAATGAGTATATTGTCTTGCCCCTTTGTTAATCACAATTTCAAATAAAAGATCATGTAATTTTCATACATTATAACAACATGATGTGCGAGACGATAAATGTAAAATTTTGAATTGTATATGAAAAAGGTCTGTAAATACACTTAAATGAGGCAGTGAGTGGAATAGTGGCTAAACTGACACTACCTATTCAAGCAGTTTAGCCATTCTTGCTCTCACAGCAGATTTCATTTAAACCAATATTCTGCTCATTAACTCAAATATTTGCAGATAAGCAAAATCCAACTCAGAGTTAAGAATTTGTTTCTTTATGATAAATGTTTATTTTGTAAAAAGTCTGTAACAATTTGGTTATTTTTTATCAAAGCAATATTTCATGACAGTTAATTAGTGCTTCGTGGTATGAATGAAAGTATGTTAACAGCTCCAGTTTTAAATATATTTTAAGTGAAGAGGTTTTGTGAATAAATCAATTTTATTACAATATATACTGTAAAAAGTTTAACTAATGTTGATTTTCTATATCTTGAAAAGACTGTTTATAATATTAATAATCAACAGTTACATATCAAAGCATTTGGTACTTGAATCACCCAAGCAGATTATGTACAGTTTTGTATTGTAAAATATTCAAAATGTATAGTGGAAGTAATAAAATTATTTCCTTGATGTGATGTGTATTGTTAATTAATACATAAACCCTTCCTCTTATATATTTGGATTAATTAAAGTACTTCCAAAATGTTTTGGACAATTGCTTTATGAAACTTATTCTAAATCTAGTACACTTGTAGTACTTGCTGCAGTGGAGTGGTAAGAAAGATTCACTTTACAGCCTATGCAAGTAATAATTCAGTTTCATGGTTAGATGAATAGATCTGAATAGCATTTAATAAAATTCATTGCCACACAGCCGTGCCCCGCAGAGAGCTGCACCAGTCTCAACTGGTCTCCCAGTGTGTGTGCGTGAGTGGATGAGCATGCCATTGAGCCAGCAAGTGAGCGTGTGCGTGCAAGGGGAGTGTGAGGCCAACAATGAGAAAGAAAAGACCTGTGTTTCACAATCTGAATTTGACGTAGTTACATAGCTAGTAACAAAAAACAGCCACCATTGAGACTTTAACCCTACGACCACCCACACAACAATGCAGTAAAGGCAATGGAAGTAGGTTTTGAGACATCATAATTGATAATTTCTAAGTGTGAATACAATAAAGGTTGTTGCTAAGATATCAATCCCAGAGACCCTAACTTCTTCCTTGGTTCTTTTTCATTTCTCTTCATAATTTTCCCTAATACACAGATTCTGTCTTCCTAATATACCAATCATCGTAACTAACTGCAAAATGTGAATCCATAAAATGAATAACTTTGAAGAATTCAATAGTTAAGGTAAGAAAATCTGTAACAGTGGGATATAAAACATTAAAATAAATAAACATTTGATGTAAATGACTTACCAAAAATACAGTTAAACTTCGATATGTTTAATTGCAAAGGAAATGGAAAATGCTTGAAGTTATGGTTCCCTCATTTTACACAGGTTGAGTTTAAAACTTTTAATTTACAGAGGCTTAAAGCAAATGGACCATGAAATGCATTTTGCCGTGTGTAATATGATGCAAATTTTGATTGCAGTATACTTATTTCATTAGCTGCTACTGAGAATTAATGAGAATGTGATCATGATTAAGGAAAGACAAAAATCAAGAATACCACACAATCAAATGGCTGGAAAATAAAGCTTTCTAATGCAAAACTGCAAAACCTAGTTTTCATTGATATTTTTGGGACAGAAACTTTTCTTCCCAGAAATTATTATGTAGTTGAAAATTTAATAAGACAACACCGAGGTTCCCAAGGCATCAGGATTGCTTTGAGTTATAGGATGTTTCTTACTCAAGTAATAGAGATTTGTACTTTGGGAAACAGGAATAACATTTGTGGAAGGGAAGGACCCAGCTGTTTCTGAAGAAATGAGATCAGAATTCCCAAACAGCTATGGCCCTGTGACAGACACACATTACTGGATACCATACTTTTAGAATTAACTTTATCTAAACAAATAAAGATGAATTCAATGACATGTAACCGACATCAATACCACAAAAAGTAGTTTGGTGATATAAAATTCTTACAGGTTCTTCATCAGGGTTATTGCAGATTCCTTGCAAAGTTTGGTAAAGATTAATAAAACACAGATGCAGAAAATGAATAATTTAAATAATATGTCAGTAGATGCATCACAATCATTTTTCGCATTTCATTAAAAGCAGATTGGTTCCTTATGTATTCCACCAGAGGTCAGTAGCAGTGCAGTAGAACTGGTGTCTAATAGAATCACTAAAAGCCACGAGAAATGTGCAAGATAAAAAAAAATTTAATAGCAAAATAATGTAAAATAAAATGAAAGAAAAGTATAGTATTTTATTAAAACTTGAAACAATTACATTAAAAATAATTATCTTACACACTGTTTTTTGTACAAAATTAATCTTTTCCCTCTTTTACAAGGATTCAATATGACAAGTCCAGGCAACACCAGCTTTTTGCTGGATTAAAAATATATTTTTCCATCGGTTTATTCAAATTCCCTGGCTGTATAAAGCAAAAAATATTACGATTCCCAGGCATGTAAACAATAATATAAAAACAATGATCTAAACATAAGAACCCCACAAATGTTTTCCAATGCCCTTAAACCTGAAAAAAATAATTGGAATAATTGGAAGTTGAAATGGTTAATTTTTACATGTTTATGACCCTCAATTAAATAAATAAAAAAATATTAAAATTGATTTTCATCGTTCCAAGTTTTTATTGTTTTTCTCAGCTTCAGAGTAATGATTACATCTAAGAATCACATTATGAAAGTACAATTAATTATCACACATGAAGGCAATTCCATCAAATATGCAGGAAGTCAAATATACAGAAGAAGTAAAACTTGCACAGCTGAATCCCATTAATCCAAAAATCTAGCTAAATGAAGATTACAAGAGATTGATAAAAGTGAAGAAAAATTGACAGTAATGAAATCAAAAACTAAATGATTTCACTTTCTACAACAAAAAAATACCTTTGAACTTTTTTGTTCATTGTTAATTTTTTATTTGGTCTCTTCTTCCCATTTCTAAGTACATAAGCATCTACAAATATGAAACAAATAAATAGCTATCCTTTTCATTTCAGACTTGTTGTTTCTGAACTGAGATAGCATCTGGTCAAGGGTTAAGGTTCTTGACAATCACTATATAAACTAAAAAACGAATTTCATTGAATCCAGATAAACCAAATTTTCACTCATTTAAATAGACCTTGCCCCCAATTTACTCAGATTAATGGGATTCTGTAGTTTTTTTTTATCACAGTATAATCACACAGCACTGAAAAGTGTCAATGTTGAACACAAGAGAGCAAGAAATAGCCCACATTACCTTGCTTTTACTTTTTAGTTTTCCAATCCACCAACGTTTCCTTGCAAATACAGGTAATTCCATCATACTAAAAGTAATGATATCTTAAGTACAGTAACCATCATTATGAGTGCAAAACTTTATAACTTAACGAGAGACTTATAACAGCATTAAGTTGTACTGCAAAAGAGGAAAGAAAATGGAGAAATATTCATTATAGTAAATTAAAATTATCCAACATCCTTGTACTAATTCCGAATACACAAATTACAAATTTAATTTTATTCTATCATCTTTCAAAATAAGATAAAGGAAAACTTTTAAACATATTTCCTTTCCAATAGTTTTCATTTTGATTAAGTCCATCAAATTTATGTTATGAATGGCATCACACAATTAAAAGACAGGTATATTTTTTAATATGATGAGACACTTAATGAAATTATTTAAAAAAGATATTATGTGGTCAATAATAAACCTTTTTATTATTTAAAGGCTTATTATTAAGGAGTGAATATGTTACAGTCAAAGCAATTAATTTAGCCACTGCGCATATCTACCAAATTTGGTTGTAATGATTACTGAATTGGAATTATTAACTTTTATCTCTTAACCTTTTGTAAGTAATACCAGACAAAAGTTGTCAAAGTGATTCTCTTCAACAATTATTAGCTAAGCTAACTGAAAGCTATTGTGTGTTGTCAAAATAAAAATTCTCTTTTTTGTGGGTCAGACACCCACAAATGGAATGGAATTTTATACGATCAAAATGCTTTTAGGGCACAATTGATACTTCACTTTACAGTTTGATACTATGCTGCAACCTCCACAATTAACATAAAGCATCTTTGCCTCTTATTCCAAAATACTTTTTTGCCATTAAAAGATTATTAGGAAGAAGAAAAATGTTCGTTGAAAAAGAATTTTGGCATAAAAGCACTGAGCAGACTCAAAGATGCTTTATGTTAATCACTTTTGCTGAACACCAGAGCCTGATCAAAGTGCGTATTTTTTTTTAAAGATAATTATTACTTCAGATAAATTGAACTAGCTATTACAAATAATGGCTGAGCAAAGAGATCACTTTGACTACTGATATGGTAATTATTCATAATGGCTAGTAATAATACATACTCACTGATTATGGTTGCAACATATAGAAGTGAAGATTACCACAATTTTTAAAAAATTAAGTGGAAAGGTGTGTTTACGATAAAAGAAAATTAGGTAAAAGGAAGAAGAAAAGGGTAGATAAGTGGGAAAGGAGAGATAAGAGAATTGGAACAAATTAAAATGGAAGGGGGCAGGGTGTCATTGAGAAGAAAGTGATACCAAAATAAAAACAATTTTAGAAAAACATTAAAATGGCCAAATGGTATGAAAATTTGATGAAGGGCTGGAAGATTTCAAAAGTATTGAATTGGAGAAAGTACAAACTGAAGATAAGGTTTCTAATATTGTATTATTAATATAATATGATTCTAAATAGGAGAATGTATAAAATTAATCGAGTATGGAGTATCCTCAATTATCTATGGAAATGTAGGAGTGAGAAGAAAAGATAGAGAAAGGACGGATACAGATTAGGAAACAAAATGAAGGTAAATAAAATTGGCAAAGCAAAGCAAAAAATTATGTAAGTGATGTGGAAAAGAGGAAGGGGAATGGGAGTATGTCCTAGAGAAGTGTGTAATGGTGAAGAAAGGAGGGGAAGATGCAATAATTAGTGTAAAAATAATAGATCATGTAAATATTAACAGACACTGGAAGAGGAATTAAGAGATTGAAAACCAAAGGGGGGGGGGTGAAAAAATTAATAATGGTGGTGATCTTGATAGGGATAAAAAGACATCCAATATTATTGTTAAAAATCAATCTCGTTGCAAGCTATTCTAAAAAGCAGGCTGAAAATTGTTCTAGAATTGTACTTTGTGTAAAAGAGATGTATATCATTAAGTTAAATGGTTTTGACATTAGTCCAGTTATAGTATTCTTTTCTTTGAAATACTAGCAAAGAGGGATCACAACAATTGCAAGGGGAGCAAGACATTATGACAATTAATAAAAAAGATGAGGATATAATAACTAAATCAAAATAATGTTATTTTGAAATGGCACATAATTATTCACAATTCACAACTGTAATCAATTAATCAAGGACTCTGGCATGGAAAAGTATGCAAGGCACAAAAAAATAAAAAATTAGTTTTACAGGGAGAAATGGGAAAGTCGGTCAATCTCGACATGGCATTTCGTCGCAAAACAAGGCAGTAGCTAAAAGAAATACCTTAGATTTTGCAGCTCTTCAAAGACAGCATTAGTCATAAGAGTGAGAGTTTTAGCAAAACAAAATGTTTCCTTGTCCTGAAATTTTTTTTTTTCAGTTTGTTTTTTTTATTTACATCCTTTTCCATACCAATGTTTCATTTTTAAATAATTGGAAATGTAACTGTACACAATTTCCTAGTCATAAGTGTGAGAGTTTTAGCAAAAAAAATGTTTCCTTGTCCTGAAAAATTTGTTTGTTTTTTTTATTTACATCCTTTTTCATACCAATGTTTCATTTTTAAATAAATGGAAATGTAACTGTACACAATTTCCTGGTTGTGTATGGAACATTTGCCTTTAATTGATGCAAGTCAATTTCTGACAGCCATAAAACAAATGAGTTTGCCTTATTTGTACTATCAAAGCTGCCATGTCATAATAACTATACAGAAGGCTATTCTATCAAAAAGCAAGGATTTCAATAATTAAAGCATTTTCATTTGGTACAATAAAAAGCATCATTTTTCAAATTATTGGTTAAGTTATAAAATATAATAAAAGAAAGAAAGGGAATGAATCAACTACAGCTTCTTGACTTTTGAGAGGCTACTAAAAAATCAATTGATAAATCCCCCTCTACCAATGCAATGGGTAATTAACACTCAGATACATCACCATAATTACTGGATATTTCCCATATGTGTAAGGATTCCAATTGTTGAAATTGTCTTCATGGCATACATAATGCAGAAATTGTTTTTCACAGCTCAGAAATAAGCGTAATATGTCACTGTTTCTCCTAAAATCCTACTCAGGTATTTGATCACTATCTCATACATACATACATACATACTTATATACATACTCACACATACATACACATTCGTTCACAAAATGAAATCTCTGATACAAAGAAAGACAAGATTGCTACTCAACTAATGAGTTAAGTTGATCTCTATATTACAATTCTGCACAACACAGAGTGCTTAAAAAGAACATTAATTGCAGATACTTGCTTACTGCCAGGAAAATGTTAAACAAAAAATTGAAGGCATTCATAAGATTTGATGCAAATGATTTTATGCTCATAATAATATCCATCTCCATTATTAAAGAGTACTTTGTAACTCTGAGATCTATGTGAATACTTTGTACATTTTATACTGCATTTCTAAGACGTTGAGAAACAGATATTTAAATCAAGGTTCTCCTCAAATTCAATTTCTCCCTAAAATATAACAAATAAGTAATTTTGCAGATCAAACTGGGATACAAAGCCTTCAACTAAGAAAGAAATTGGAGTAAAATTTTATCAATGGTGAAAAAAAAAGACAATATTGGACTATCAATTAGAACAATACACGACACTGCTAATAAAGTGAAACAATCATTCAAATTCAGCAAACAGTTTCTCTGTACCAATCAACAGAATACACAAGTTTTAGCATTTCAGAGATTCCTATTATGACAGTCATCAAATGCATATGATCTCAAATGCACGCTTCCGAGAACTCATCCTAACCCACATTTTTTCAATTTGTAATCTTTTTTAGTTTTCTAAGATTGGTCAAAGTAGATGTTCTTGTAATGAAACCAGTCAACTTACTAAGACCAACTAGGTGAAGAAGATACTTCAAGGTATCAACAATTTGGCAGTGGTGGGAAAAACAATTAGTGGGGCCAAATTGAAATGAAATCAATTGTGACAAGTACCATAGCACATGAAATCACTAAACACCAACTATTGTCTTGTAGTGCACTTATTTCTTTTTGGGTTTACTATTACCATGTCATCAAGATTATTGATTTTTCCACAAATGAATCTCCAGCTTTGTGTTGTTTCAACATGATAAGCACTAAACATTAAACTTGCCTAGATTAAACCACGTGCATTTAATGAAGCCAACATGATAAGAAAAAGAAAGAAACTTCAGAATTGTACAATGCAAACAAGCAGTATTTTCTTCACGTAGCCAGGTAATATGGATATCATCACAAGATGAGCAATGTGGATAACCTAGAGTGATCTAAGACAACAGAGATGGTGTATGGCCTTTGACACACAGTAACAAAACACAGACGAAGACAACACATCTTTTCACTCTGTGCTACATTGAGCAGTAGCTTGAAGGATTTTAACACACATTTTGTCCCTTCCAATTTTCCACAACTAACAAATAACCTGCAATTGTTAGTCCCTTGGCTTGTCCGTATTATGATTGAACAGAAGGCAGTTTTACGCAAGCAGGGAAGAAATTATGTTTTTAGTTCTCAATTACATTTAAAGAGAAGCACAAATGGGTCAGTTGTTTTACAACATTGCCTAAGCGCAACAGAAGACTGAAGAACCATTCAGCTATAAACTGCTGGTTGGTGCTGAAAGCTCAGAGATTTATCAACGATGCAACATTTCAGCCTTTGCCTGTGCAGACACACACCATCAAAGTCGCAAATACAACCATCATATTACGGCTACCACTTTGCACGTTTGGACCAGTCTTTTGGCGTCCAGTGAAGACACTTGGGGTCAATACGAATTTTCCTCTTTTCCATTGCACGCATGTGTTGTGCAATTGTCTCCTGGTTGATGGTAATAATATATTGGCCTTTGTAGTAATTGATGAGGCTCAGGTTCTGTAGAGTAGAGATAACATCCTCTTTCTTGATGGAGGTGAGCTCACAAATTTCACTGAAACATTAGCAGTTCAGATAATATAAACTTATAGAGGAGATGAGTTTATCATATGTTTGTTTTGCAAATACAGATTTTATACAGTATGAAAGAACAAAGAGATAACATTTTAATCAGTCTTTTGATATAAGTTGTACAATATGTAAAACTTTTACTCCTTCTCTTCCTTCCATCTTAAAAGTTCCCTAGATCAGGTTACAATTTGATTTAAAACTTTTCTTCACAAAATGGAGGAGAACACCTACCTCCCTCAGCAAAGTAGATTGATCCATTTACCATTTTCCTTCAATACATGCAAACCATGTGTAAGTTAAAAAGAAAAAACAACAACCACCATCCCCCTCCATGTTCAATATGGCACTGTCACACATTCGGTATCAGTGACAAATGTTCTTCCAAGCATAGGGAACACACATAAGGCATCATTGCTTTGCCCCCAGGAAGCCACACCAAAGGTAGAAGAATGAGAAGTTTCCCTCCAGTCTCAAGAAAAAGACTCCACAAGTCGTTTATGCTTTGTTCAGGCAAGTGGAAGATATTTTTGACAGGCTTTAAATAACCCGCTCTGTGGAATATATTTTCACCCCAGCTAAATGAGCAGAGTGCCAGCTAGTCTCAGAAGTGTGAGTTTAGTGAGTGCATTTGGAGGTTAGGCATAGTTGCCACAAATGATTTAATTTCCTCTAATATCATCAATAAATATTGAAAGAATCAATTTAAATTGTGTTGAAAAGCATATCAGAATATTAATCCTTTCACATTCAGCATCTTCATTTGAGGACGCACAAATCCAGTTAACTCAAATTTCTTTCTTTTGCACTAATTTGTGAATTTTATTTCTTCAATAGGCATACAGATCCAAAACAAAACATTCGTAAATGCTAGATGTTAAATTAGCTAGGATCGCTAAAGCATTGTACACTCCTGGACAGGATGTATCGATGACTTGTATTGGTCGTGGTTGTGATTCTTCTTCTTAACTTATTCTTAGCTGCTATGTCCTTTTGTTTAAGGTGGAGGGAATGACCAATGTAAAACAAACAATGGATGTCCACACCAAAGTTGATGGGGCTTATGCAACAAAGGCCTTCTAGTTTTGCTACTTCTTACAGAAAAAAATTGCTCATTATAGCATTTCGGAGCACACTCATACTAAATTTAGCAACATAATAACAATTTGGAGAAAAAGATGCTACCCGATAGTTCCAGGAATAGCTCATCGTGCACAGACCCAGGGCTCGTGCATTGCACGCAAACTTAATTCAGGCATTAATGGATTAATATGAATTCTTTGATAGAGAAATTCAAAGTGAGGCCATCCACATTAAAGGTAAATTAGTAGGCCACAGTTGCTGAATGTAAAAGAATACATGGTATTCACTTGAGAACATTTGAACCTAATTTCAAAATAACTCTTAATCAACAAGTGCAAGAAATACTACTTTAAATCGAAGGATTGAAATGAACTTTCTTACATTCTAGCTACATAAGTACATTGGTTTCAAGCAAACATTCTCCAATTGGGAGAATGCCCAAAATTATACGGAGAAGCACACTCTCAGCACAAGTTAGCCAGTATTTGTTAAATTAATAAATGGTTTTCGCACATTACTTACCAACCATGTCTTCAATGTGATTTGGCAGAAGTATATGTAAAAATTATTGCTCACATGACTGAACAGAGTATACTACACAGAACATTTACAGCACTTGAATATCCATCATAATATTCCTATATTTCCTTATTATTAAATTTGATTGTGTCTAAATAAGTCAACAATAAAGAATGAGACTCCAAAAAGATATCCAAATCCACCACCAGGGAGATCCAAGAAAACAGCAAAATAATTTGAACAAACCAGAATGCTTAAACAATATTTTGAAACAATCCACAAGATTTGTGAACTAACCTGAACTCATATTTTCCTCACTGAAACAACAGTTATTAGATAAGAGGCAGAAACAATTACATAGTAAAAACAAGTGTTTTGAACATTTGCTTCCCATGTTCCCATTTCCAACAGTCATTGAGTCATGAAGCTATGTGCAACAACGCATCCTGCCCTAAACGATGAAACGCCACATGCATAATTACTCACTTTATGGTGATCTGAGGTTTTTCGTTGTCTCCTGTTGGCTTCAAGTGAACTAGAAAGTCCAATATAGTTTGTGCCCAATAACTTCGGTACGAAAGCAAGCCCAAATCCGAGAGAGGTTTCTCTGGAGATCCAGTTTTACCCTCAAATTTCGACAGCTCATAGCCTGTACACAATACACAAATATCGAAATAGAACACTATCAAATTTTGTCCTTTATAAGACAATTTGTTTCACACGAGATACAGTTCAATAAATTTGGTTGAAAGTAATACAAAATCTTTAACTTTACGATTCTTTTCTTTTAAAAAAAAGTAGCAGAAAGAAGCAAGGATGAAAGTGATAAAAGGCAGTTGAAATTTCACTTCTGTTTTCCTAAACGTGTGGAAGTCGCACACTTGATGACGATGCAAAAATTCACTTTACTGCACAAAACACTTTTTTCCAAAATCACATTCAAAAAATATTCACAACATGGAGATATCACACAGAGATCAAGTAACACTCACTAAATTCTATGAGTAATTTCCCATATCCTTTCCGTTGATATGGTGGCATTGTGAGAATACACGCTACGTTGTAGTCCTGGTTCGACCACTTTTCTTTGGAAAAATAGCCCACTATGTGATAGCCCCGAGCATCCACATCAGTCATAACATAGAAGAGGAACGGGTCTGTGTCATAATATAATGTTTTGTGGTCCAGAAATAGTTTTGCCAAGAGACACAAATTTTGAGCATACACTTTGTTCTTCCGTCCATCAATTTCGAACACTGAGATTGGGCCCTTGCGGTAAATTTCGTTGCCAGGTGGATGTCGAAGATTGCATTTGGCCTGAGCACAAAACAGAATAATGAACATTAAAAAAGAAAAGGAATTACCTTTTAACCAACTGCATGAGCAGAATAAGAACGACACCAGATTATCTCTAATATATCACATACCTATCTTATAAATAAAGGAAAAAGGTTTTTTGAATTTATTTTGATCATTTTTCAAATAGGGATAAAAAATATAGCATTAAAACGCATGAAAATTCTTTAACACATGTCCCGTGTCAAATATATACTCACCAGATGTCGCTCAAGGCAGGTTCGCGACTTCCGATACTTCAGACAAAATTCACATATATAAATGCAAGGGAGGTGCACAAGTTCCTCTGGGTATGGGGAGAAGTACCATGGCCTGATACGATATCGGCCCAACTCAATCATTTCCACATTCTTCATTCGCATCACCACATCATCGTGGTGAGCCACCATACTACCAGTTGAACGTGGGCATGTTGGTGGTCCATCCTGGGAATCCTATATATAAATAGAAAAAAATTCACAATTAAAAAAGGAAATAAAATCAAATTTCAGAAAGTTTTTCAATTCTCTTGATTGTCAACATTTGATTCACCCTTCCCGGAAGAGAAATCTCTTTGTATAACTCAGAAACGATGAAGAAATGCCAACCATTCCAAGAGCTATGAAATTGATTTCCAATCATCCAAAAGAATTCCATGGACAAATTATATTCGTTCAGCAAGGAATAACTGTAGCACTTTATTTGTAATATAAATTTGTCCTTCATCTTAAATGGCTGTTAAAAACTCAACAACAGTTCTGAATATCATATCAATTGATTATAAACAGTTCAGCACACATTTTTATACAATGTATTAACAACACTTATATTTGCCATAATTTTATTAGATTGAAATTACTTCTCAAGTGCATTCTTATTTTTATTTTATTTTGAAGTATATTTGTATTTTTGTTATTGTGTATTTGGACAGGAAATGTCTGTGTTATATAAAATAAATAAACTGATGTGGTCCTTAATGACACAAGCAACAATGGAATGTGGCTCTTACTGACTTAATCAGGACCCAGAACTGGAATGGTACAATTACTGAGACATTTTGATAAGTACAGCTCCAATGTTAAATAATGTTCCCGTGGGTGGCAAAGAAATATTTTGCAGTAGAGATTTGGTAGTCAGGTGAAGGGAAGTCTACATACTGGAACTTGCATACATACTGCATGAATACAGCATTTAAAATAGAAACAAAGTTTCTTTACAATTTTAATTTGATACACAAACATGTACTGAACAAATTAATATTTTCTGAAATTACATGAACTGGAAACACTTCGATCTCATATAGAGAAGTTATTCTAAGAAGGAACCACTTTGACGGGTAGGGAAACATATACGAACTTCATGCAGAGCGGTGACATTGCAAGAGATAGTAATGAAGCCATTTACAAATGAGCTAACTATAAACAGACACACTGACAAAAATTAGTGTTCTATTGCCAGCAGTAGCTGTCAAAGCGGTCCCTTCTTTGTTAGTTAGTTAATGCCTTATTTTACATGGTGAGACTTGGGACATCAGGTCTGATCACGCAAATTTCCCTATGCTCCTTTCACCAACTAGCAGGGAAAGAAGGAATCACTTGGGCGACAAAACAGACGATTTTGAATTTAGCTCAGAGGCTTTATTTAGGATTGAGGAATTTTTACATGCAGTAAATCTACAAGGGACAGCCGGCTTTACTTCCCCTTTGAAGGAAGGTACACATAGGATTTTTTTCACCCTTAAAAATCTTTAGCTTTGATCGGGTTAGAACCTGCAAACTAGGGTAAAAAGTCTGATAGGCTACCCATTATACCACATTATAGTAATCTCTCTATACTCATAATAACCATATTATTTACAACTGGATCCAGTTGCTATAATGCCTACAGAAAGGTACGTAATAAGTGGATTTCATTTTGTTTCATTGCATTTCTTAAATCTAATTCAAATACTTACAATGTTGCTCAAAAGCTGAGCCGCTATCGCTGCTGCTAGTAAGAAATATGAAATAGAATTTTAAAGGATGAAAAGTTTTGATGTTCTATATAATGCTAGTGGCCTTTACAAGGTCCTTTGCAGATGCCCAACAAAATTTAATCCATCCAATAATATCCCATCCTAATGGAATACCTGTCCAGGCAGCTTGAACCAAACAGGTAACATCAACATCTGGCAGAAAAAGCTGAAGTCAAATACTAGGAATAAAGAGGGATAGGCACTAATCTCTAACCATGAAAAATATGATTACTCGTTGCGTTGAAAATAACCATTAAAAATATGATTACTGGTTCCCCGTTGCACAAGTTCATATTTTCAAGTCCCGGTCCCAATTTCATCAAATTACTCATTTACACATTTAACAACCCTGCTTTGCATGTTGAAACCTTGCAGGTAACTTGCTTCGCAAGAGTTTTTGGTGTACCAGTGTCTACTTTAACGAGTATTGTTTTCAGGGTATTTTTCAACTGAATTGATGCCTTAATTTACGAGGTGAGACTCAGGCCTTGAGGCCTGCTCTTCCATCTGACCACGCAAATTTCGCTATGCACCTTTCACCAACTAACAGACGAAGGAGGTATTTCTTGGGCGATGAAACAGGCAATTTGAATTTAGCTCAAAAGCTTGATTTAATCTTGATCTTTTAAATGCAGTAAATCTACGAACATGGGACAGCCAGCTTTACTTTCCTTTTGAAGAAAGGTATACAAAGGATTTTGTCGCCCTAAATATCCACGGGTTCCATTGGGTTTGAACCTGCAATCTTGGGTATAACAGTCCAATACACTAACAGTTACACCATCACTGCTGCTTTTGGGTACTACTTTCACTGTCAGCTCGATTCCAAGGACAACCAACCTTTTTTCGCTGTGTTCCCCATGTCATTTTCATTGTGTTACCATGAGTTTCTGTTTTACCTACCACATGTTTTTTTTTGATGTGATAAGACTCAGAGTACTATAATTTTTCTGGTGTGTTATTCAGGTGCACAAATGTATTAAATAAATCATCTTCACAAGACTTGTGTGCTTAAAAGATACTCTAGACCTGAGACTGGAGTCAGCTTCAAAAGGAAACTTAGGTCAACAACCAGCTCTAGAGCAAGATGAAAAAAAGAAATAAACAACACACACACACGCACACACTCCAACGCACCTCACTCTCCAATGAGTTTCCCTTTCTCTTTCGGCTCATCTTCTTCTGTAGGGCCGCTGCCAACACCGTACTCCCGTTAACCAGTTCCGCACCAGTGGGTGATGATGGTCGTGAGGAGGCACCTGGGATACTGGGAGTGCCTGCAGACGCAGTGCCAGGCCGTGACGGCACGGTTGCCGGCACTGCCACTGGTGGTGGTACCGCTGCAGGTGTCGGTTCACCTGCACTAGCATTGGTGTTGTTGGTGACGGCACTGGCGTTGGAGTTGGCATTGGCATTGACATTAACATTAGCACTGGCATTGGCATTGACAATGGCATTGGCATTGGTGCTGGCGTTGGCATTGGCGTTGGCGTTCCCTCCACCCAGCTGTTTCTTCGGCGTAGAAACTCCTGTGCCTGGTCCTGCACCATCACGCCGAGGAAACTGGACCTTCCGAGTGTCCAAGCACTCCTCTGTGACCCAATCATCCAAACGTTTGTTGACTGCAAAAAAAAAAAAATCAGGTAAGTCCCCTGGCTGGCATGTCAAAACACACAATTGAAAAGCATAAACTAAATATTTAAGTTTTTCAGCATTCGATAAATATCTTTCGTAGCAAGCAAAACACTTTCAACTAAAGCTGCCTTCACACTCAGCCTTTAATCAGCACATGACAGTCAACAGATAAGCTCAGTGGTGCTTCTGAGTGGGCTAGTGTGAAGGCTGCTATTACAAACTGTTCTGTTGGACGTTGTGTGGAAGCGCATCTGTGCTGCTGGAGGCGGGAGTTTGAGCACATCACCACTCATGTGACTACCATTATTTAAACCACCACTTTGCAGCAGAAGTGCCTTTCAGAAAAGCTGCCGAGTGGCTCCATGTCAAGGGGCCCTCTCTTGGGGAAAGTAAAACACCTCTGTGATCATCACTCTTTTTCCCGCACTAGTTGAATACCAATAAATTTTAAGGGAGAGAATAAATAATACACATCAAATGAAATCATACAACACCTAATGCGAATGCAAGGTACACCAAACATTTCCTTTACTTATTACAACTACTCCTCAACTTTAAAAAAACAACTTTAACTTAAACACCCTTTTTTTTTAATGCAAGACATCACTTAAAATACCTACAATTACGGATAAATTACCTTGAGAAAATAAACAACATGGGACAGTCAGCTTTATTTTCCCTCTGAAGGAAGGTTTATGGTGGATTTTTTCACTGTTAAAAATCCAGGTTTGTATCAGGTTGGAACCCATAAACTTGGGTATAACAGTCCAAAATGCTGTTATAGAATAAAAGATGCAATTACGCTCTGAGAATATATTCCGCAGACGTAAAGGAATCCAAATTGTGACCACGGCACTGAGCTATCAATTCTTTGAATAAATTTAATTTAAAAAATTATGGAAGAGATTTGCACAAAACACTGAAAATGTCATAAGACCTTCATAAAAAGGACACTCAAGATTAAAAAAAAAAAAAGTTTCAAGCTACCTCAAAGGCTTCTAATCTGACAGAGTTGTGTGTGACCCATACTCATAACCTTTCTAGTTTTTGCTAACATTATTGCATGTATTTCCTCCCCACCAGCACCAATCTCAACCATCTTTGGAACGGGACTAATAGACCTTAACCTTGAGAATTGTTACAGCTAAAAAACTTGGAAATGAATTTTATGATTGAAGATTGATGTATTTCCAATTCTTTTCTTCCCTAAACTATAGGGAGGAAAAGTAACAAGCATTACAATTCCTTGCTTTCATTTATTAAAAAATGAAAAGGATTGAATTTCTGTGTAAACCAGTATTAAATTATTTGACTTAATGATTGTTATTTCCATTGTACACATTACATCAATTTAAGAATAATGACTGGAGAGCAAATTTTCCAATAATCAAGTAGTGTTGGCTTCATGGCTCCTTCATTTCTTAAAATAAAGAATTGTTAACTTACTCTTTTACATACTGTGCATAGGATTTGAAGAAAACGAAAATAAAAAGCACATCAAAGGACACAGAGAAGAAAGGCAAACGTTTCAACTTCATATATCTACAAACATAATTTTCTTTCCATGTAAATGTCTACAATCAATTACTAATATTGTTTCTTCCTTAACAAAGGTGAAGAACTCTTTAAGGCTAATTCAGTATGACAAGTGTTTAACATTAAAAATTATGATATCTTTCACTCATGCTGAAACATATACGCTCCTTCTTACCACCTAGAGCAGTGTTCAATGCTAACTCTACAAAAGTTAATGATCAGTATACTCTGACATTTTATGAACAAACAGTAATCACCAATACAGACAGTACGAATCAAAAGGTCTTCCTTCTCACCGGTATATTTACAATTAAAAGCATCATTCTTCATCGTATTCCTTAAAATACAGAAATGACAAAATAACACCAACAGTGTTGGTAAAGTGAGGTTATGTCACCTGATTATTCTGACATTTCAAGACTAGACAGAAATTGTCAAAATAGACAGTCTGTCTTTCAGAATGTCTTTCTTCTCACTAGAACATTTACAATTAAAAGCTCAAATTTTTACAAAATTCCTTAAAAATTAGAAATTACAAAATAACATCTACACAGAAAGTGAGGTTATGACACTTTTAAACACTTCATTCAAGATTTCTCGACATTAACAATCATTAAATCACCCATTATAAATAGAATGCTATGCAAATGTATGCATACTGAAGTTCATTTATTTAAATGCTAATTGAATAATGGCAATTATGCAAACCTAGTTAAAATTGATACTTCCTGAACTGTCATTGCTCGAATGTCAAAAATACTTACAATCCACATAATGTACGTAGAATGACTTAACACCACGGTGGTCCTGGATACTTATTATTTCTGCCAAAGCTGTAACAAGATCGAAATTATAACCAACACATTTTCATTACAAAGTAATATTAGATGCACAACAGAAATACATACGCCAGTCATCGGTACCGTGCATACGAACTGGAAGTCGACATCCTTCAACAAGGGATTGCTGAAAGAGAAAGAATTAACTTGTCAATTTCAAATTTCATGAAATACCGAAATGTACTAAAGTAACCTACAGGAAAACAATTATCAAAATACACGTAAAACATAAGAGTAACCATCACATTAAACGCTGTAAAATAAATGTGTATTGCCTCATTAAATCACAAATACATAGAATACAGAAAACTAATCAATAAATGACTTAAAATTACCACAGAATCACAAATTGAATCCGGGCCGTCAGTTTCATCAGCCATGTTGTAACTACAGTGTGGCCAACACTGACAATGACATGTTTTTACTATGCCAATGTTAATACAAACTCTCTGGCTTACACTTGGCGATGCTTCACCATTAAAAAATTCACCTGCCGAGTTAAATACAATTTTAGTAATTACTACTTTCTTAAATATGTACTCCGAACAGAGAGAGAATTGTAATTCTGCAAGAATATGTGCCAATTGTTTTCTCACAATACCTTTCCCTGCCCTGATACGAAAAAAAAGTGATTTTTTTTGCTCTTATAGGTAAGACCTAAATAACTTTATTCCAATCGTGGTTTATTCAAAATCCATATTTTTTATTTCTCTGGTACTACAAAATTTACTTTTACAATTGTTTTCGTACAGCTATATTAAAATTACAATTTTTGAAATAACCACAGAATATAATGTCATTTGAAGCTGTGACATTTATCTTCCTTAGTATTACTAGTACAAGAAATCGATTCTGAAATATTTGTCCCTTTTGCTCCCTTGACCGTTTGTCTCCCATTGTCCCATTTTGTCCCTTTATTTCCTTTTCCCATTTTGTCCCCATTGTCCAGGAGTACCATAATTCCCCCCCCCCCCCAAAGAGGACATTTTACTTAAAAAAAGATATTTCAATGAAAAAGAGGACATTTTACATATTTATACTTACCCACCTGTAGACAATGTACACAAGAATTTCAAACCATTATTAGACTTTAAAAAGCATAGATTTAGACTTTGTGTCATTACAAATAAAAGCTTTTGATTGGATAACTTTGTCCCCGCACTCACCTTCATTATCCACCAAACAATAAGCATAAATAAGTTTTATATCACAATAAGCTCAATGATTTATTATGCAGATCATTTATTTGAGTGAAAAAGTAGATATTAAAGACATGAAGTCCCTTTAATGAATTAAATTACTTAAAAATAATGTTAGTATTATTTTCAATTCAACAGGACAAAACTGAGGATGTTACGTGTCAATTTAAAAAAAGAGAGAGGACAGAAGAACAATATAAAAAAGGACAGATGGCAACCCTGCCATTGTCTGATTTTGTCTCCTTTCCCCATTTTGTTCCCTCGTCCCATTCATTCCTTTGCACATTTTGTTCATTTGTTCCATTTTCTCAATTTATGTCATTTTCTTCATTTGTCCCATTGTCATATGTCCTCCTTTTCTCAATTTGTCTTTTTATCTCATTTGGCATCCTCGTCCCCGTGTCCCATTTATCCTGTCCAGTTTCAAATTTGTCTAAAAATGCAAATATTTGATTGTGTTATTCTACCTTTCCTCACACTGGGTGTACCAAAATAATTCTCATGTTACCTAGTGCATGACTACTGAGAACACAGCTTAGTTCATGCAACAGAAAGGCTCCAAGAAATAGACCATGCACCGTTAAAAATGTACTATTCATGTGTTGCATTATGAAACAACTTATTTGATATTCTTGGAATGCTCAGCAATTGCAGGCTCAGTAAACAAAGGGGATATCCCACATTTTTTGTGAAATTAATTTATTAGCATTATTCCAAATTTCAAATATAATTCTTTTAGTGTAATATGTTATTTAAATCAAGCACACACTTATATGCAAATGTACTGAGTTTGAAAGTTCAAAAATGTATTGAGTTATATGAGGGAAGTTCAGGCACAACCTACATTATCTCAGAACTATGTCTATGTAGGATAGCCCCTTGTTTTTTTGAGCCCCTGGTTCATTTATAATGTTTATTTAAATATATTACATGATGTTATTGCAGTATTCTTTAGTGTTTTGTAAAATATTTTATAAGAGAATGCGTAATACAATACTTGTTGCATGAGAGTATTTTACTTGTTTTTCTTGGCAGCATATGTGCTTTTTTATGGATAACCATTTTGTGTGATGTGATTCAGCAGCATTTCTGTTTCTGCAGGCCACTAGGTTTTATTAATTTCATTAGATTACTGTTACTGTACATTGTTATATTGAATATATAATTAATATTGATATTTTCATGTAGAATTATGATGATCAATAGTATGTTTACTATTAAAACTAATATTATTGACATAAATAATAATAATAAATCATTTATTCAACTACTACAGTGCAGAATTATTTAAACAGTACCTCTCAATTAATCTATTTTGAGCAATAATAAATACTTAGCAAAATATATTTAACACATAATTTAATATTTCACTTTCATATCATATATTTTTTGTTTATTTTTTCCTTAAGTCAACGTAATATTTTGCTTGCTGAACAGCAGTGAAGTTTTTAATATTTGGTTTATTTCTTAAGGCTTTATAACACAGCCAACTATTCAACAATGCCTAATTGACCTTATCGGAACTCACATCAGACCTTCATTTTGTGGATTATACAAATTAAGTCAAATTAGTTAAAACAATAATGATTTTAAAATGCATACATATTTTGACAACACTCTCACTACATTAAGGCCTATTTAAGAAATCAGTAAGACTATTTAGAAAAATGGATGACAGATTGTTTTAAATTGAATGTTTTAAAGGAATAACATACTGAATATATCAATTATTTGTCAACAAAGTCATGAGGTCAACAACACATACTATGTAAAGAGGAACATACAAAAATTAGTCAACATTTGAGGACAGAATGGAACAAATGTTCCAAACAGAATGTTTACTATCATTAATAATTAAATATCTAGACATGTCCAATCAAGTCGTCAATCGAATTTAAAACTAGCTGATGCTACAAAGAATATCCAAAATCAAATCTTGAGTTACTAATAATTATATCACCAAGCATAAACGTCGTGAATGAACTACGTCACGTCAACAAATACTTGCTGTTATCAGTTTTTAAGAGGTTATTAATAGCACATTGGCAATGCTTCTCTATCTAGTCCGATACAATTCAAACAACACAATTTCAACAAAATAAACTTGTAACCCCATACCACAGATGCCTACGATAAAATCAAGTTGTTCTTACGGCACGCTTGTGGTAATTCAGGGATCGCAATTATAGTTTATGGAGCACACATCACATAACAAAGTGTTAGCATACTTTTCATTACACTATTTTGGCTTGTTGGGGGAAGAAAGTACAATAACGAAGTCAGTTCTCGGTCAGTTCTCGAAGTCAGTGCGTGTATATCATTTAGATCTGTCGCACCAGCCAGTCTCTGTGCTGCCGGGCAGCGGTTTGGCGTGCTGAAGGCTCGCCGTCAGCTGGTCAGAGGGTGCGCCCGGCAGCTCAGAATTAATTACTCGGAAGTTTGAAGAGCAATTAAATTAATTTTTGGGCAATTAATTAGCAATTTAATCGTTCTGCCAGATGACATATTTTGTTAAGTAATCGATTGTGGTGAGCAAGCTTAATCGTACACTAGCTCACCATTAATTACACAAAAAATTGAAGACCAAAAAAATTAATTTTTGTGTAATTAATTAGCAATTAAATAGTTCTAAATGGTGAAATTTGTTTTTGTGGTAACCGATTGTTGTAGTACCAGCTTACGAGAGGTTGAAAACGTGACACTTTTTATCAAATGTGACATTAAGATTTTCCCAAAAATGGCTTCAAATTACGTCAACATTTTCTTTAATAATAATAATAACAATAATTATAATAATTATTAATATTATACAATAATATTAATTATAATACTTATTAATATAATACAATAATAACAACAACCTACACGACAAATTACCACCCCACCCTTCCCGATGAAATCCTCTCAATGATTAGACACAAACAATACAGACGAGAACAAGAAACAATTAAAACAGACACAAAGACGAATATATTATCTACTGCGACAACACGAGACTCACAAATAAGACCTACCAAAGGACAACCACAACACCAACAATATATAGTAATAAAGGCAGTACGAAATAACTCTTCTCAATATCCATATACCTAACCAACAATAATACCCTCATGTTTGATGCTCAAACAATCACCTACACCCTCGCCCAATCCTTAGCCAAACGCTTCCCCCCCCCATATCCCAATCCCAGACAATGGTCTCCACAACTACCTAAGAATCCCTTCACTACCACTCGAAAATCAACAAATATGGACGACGAACGACGCTGAAGTGAAACAAATCCTAAAGACGATAGACTACAAAAACCCCAGGACACAATGGAGTCTTCCCATCCCAACTCAGAAACCTAACCGCTTACCCTCATCCTAAACTCCTGTCTCAAACTGTCCTTCGTTTCCATCGCTTGGACAACCGCTTGCGTGACCATGCTCCCATCACGGATCATTGGCTCCTGTCAAACCACCGCCCCATAGGCCTCCTGCCAACCTTCAGCAATAGGTTTTGAAAAAATCCTCCTTTTACTCCTAACATCCATCCTAGATGCCTTTATCAACATCTCTCCATTTGGCTCCCGAGAAGATCGCTCTGCTGCTCTTAATATAATTATATTAATTTTAATAATGACATTGAATGTATTATATATAATTTGGATTGTATAATTCTACAGAACCTGTAACAAGTATGGTACTTGAGCTTCATTGAGGGTCAATGATCCCCATCTCGATCAGGATTCTGTCCAGTTTCTCTGATCCCCGCTGCCGGGCTGAGATGGCCCGTTGCTTTGCTTCTGGACATAAATATAACTTCAAATTAACTTCTCCCCATAGCACGTCACATATAGTTTTTAATTGTTTTTGACGTAAATAAATAAATAAATCTCGCCTTTGAAAGTAGCAAGTCCACTCCAAGAACAGAAAGAGATCCCCACCATTCTGACTTCACACAACGTACATCATCGCCCACCCAATCTTTCATTAAAATCCGTCCTTATATCGCAAATCATTTCCACTCACTACTCCAAATCTATCTCAACCAACTATCCTTCCACGTTCGCGATTAATCCGAAGCCTCTAACCCAACAATTCTATCCAAATCCACAAGGCGTCCCACAAGGTGCGGTGTTATCCCCGCATGTTCCCCATTTATTTCAATGATGTCCCACTTACCTCTGGAGTACAAACCTTCCTATACGTTGATGACCTTTTCCTCCTTATATCCTTTCATTACTTAAACCGATCCCTCATCCTACTTCAAGAAGCATTAGATACATTCAAACTCAGGGTCTCCCAAAATGCCATCATCACCATCATCATCATCATCATCATCAACCATTCAAAATCAACCGCAATCCTCTTTTCCTATACAACCTTGACCACCACCTCCTCCTCTTACCATTGCCCATCCCCTGGAAAGACTAAGCGAAATACGTTGGTTCGTTGGACGAACCACATCCACCGAGCCAAAGTTACCCGAAGCATCAGTGCCTTGTACCCTATCCTCACCTACCCATCTCTTCTCACAAAAAAGAACCTCCAAACCTAGCACACCTACATCTGTCCTATCATATCCTAAGCACATCCCACTTGGATAGCCACTTCCCACGACAACCACTTGAAAATAACTCAAATGGAAAACTTCGTCTTCCACCTCATATTTCACCCTCTCATATACAATTCCTTCAACTCCCTAAAATCGTAACGTAACCCCCCCACACACACATCCGTACTCACCACCACTCTGCAATAGAACACATCATAAAATATATAAACAACCCTATAATCCGAAAACTAATCGACGCCAACACTACATCGTCAGGAACCCGCCTTGACACTCCCGCAAGAAACACCCATTGGATATTCTCCTAATCCTCCTGGCAGAATCTAAGCCAGAGGGCAAACAACAGACGTGACAAGCAAAAAGACACAACGGGAACGACAAACACGCAACAAAAACATGGCAATCCAAACACTCCTTTCGTCAGCTACAGCACCCGCCAACCCGAAAAGAACATTCCCCACCTCCTCCACCCATTCTTCTCCTCCCTTCCCGCCGCCTAGGAACCCCTAACGAAATATCCCATCTTCCTCAATAAAATAACTACACATACCCGCGATCTCCGTCCCTATACGGGAGAGAGCAGTCTGCAAACCCTGAACCAGAACATCAAGAGGCGACAATCAGTTCAAAGAGACACTCTCAGGCGAATGTCACCACCCACCCACCGCTGTAGTGTGCTCTTCACGTGAAAAAGGTTTCTGAGGGGATTATGACTGCACCACGGGAAATAATAGACTATGAACGCGGAAGAGTAGTTGGAGCTACACGTATGGGACACTCCATTTCGGAAATCATTAGATTTTGAGATACGTAGTGTCAAGTGTGCCGAGAATACGTAATTTCAGGTATAACCTCTCATCATGGACAACGCAGTGGCCGACGGCCTGCACATAATAACTTACAGCTGTGACGTTTGCATAGAGTTGTTAGAACTTTTTCTTCTGTCGTGAATTGGCCGCCATGGACCACGCAGCACACGTGCACTTGTCGAGGCTCAGTAACATTTATCCCGGGTATGTGTCTCCTTTTGGGGGAATTAACATTATGCTGAATGTAATTTTTATCCCCTCGAGTTGCTAGTCCTGGGGGAATAGAAGACGGAATGATGATGATAATGTAGGTTGAATGAACGACACATGTATACGGACATACACAAACACACCCAAGTCCGAGGAGCAACTCTAACCCGCGATCCTTCCGTCCGAGATCGCCACAGCACTACTGCCTTAACAACCTCGGCTATTCGGATAGGCAGCTAATTAGTATTATCACAGACCCATTAACAATTACAATTTAGGCAAGGACCTCAAGGCCCTCCAGGGAGGGGCTGATGTGTGCAGCTCGTTTTGTTCTATATTAAGATATATGTAGGTATGTAGTTATATATATATACTATATATAATATATAAGAATATATATATACTATATATATAGCCTCCTGATATATATATATAATTTACAATTGACAGAAAAATATATTTAAAAATATTCCTGATTTTACTGATTAGTAGATTGTTAAAAAAAGAAATTAATGAAATAATTAAATTACTAAAATTACAAAATAATTGAGAGAATTACAATTACAAACAAAATAAAAATAAAATAAAATTTTGTGCCATTATCAAACCCTTCATGATCTAACTAAACGTCTCTAAATTATACTTAGTAATTAACACTTCTTAATTTTCCTGCGTCTATATACCTACGCTGCATGCCACACAATGAATAGGTCTTTTCGACTGATACGACACGCACCTGAAAAATCACAAATTTCGTGTAAAGTGGTAAGTAGCGGCAGTTAAAAGTATGTAAAACATTATCTCCTTTAGTTGAATGATAATTTAGAAATATATTCAGCGCAGCCAACCGCACCTTATTAGTTATAAGACAATGTAAACATGAACATAAACTAAAATACGCTAACACTTACAGGATATGTTTAAGCCACGAATATTACGCGATGTGAATAACTACATATACTTTTCTTATTAGAAGTAATAAAGATTACCTTCATTGCCAATATTCATACTGCGACTACGATCCTAACAACAAAATACTGCTACAAGATACAAAATACTCTGTACTTTTACATGTATCGCACTCGCGCCTTACAACTTTCTCAGAAGTGCTAACTTCCAGCACCTTTTTCTTAAAACCAGGACAACCCACTTGAGTAGTCATATCGATTAATGATGCTTTGATTTTAATAGAATACTTGTATTCATGTTAATTTGTGATATATTATAACTTATTTTTTGACTTTTGGCCAAGATTTAGTCCATTTTATCCCAATGTGCGCAGTAGCATACGACCACCGATGATCTTTTCTATCACATGGCAGGCCTATTTCCAATTTTAACAGCTGCTGGTTCTGTTGCATCTTTTACTTTGGCCCTGTACAGTACATATGGTACAATACTGTACAGTACAGTTTATATGGTCTTTCAAAAAGATGATTTTCATCTCTATCTCTGACAGAGCTAATAGACAACTACGTGGTAAAATTTGGCTTTTAAAAGGTATAGCAGCAGAAAACCAGCTCTGCCTTTACTTACAGCACATCACCTCCAGTGCGTCTTCTGGTATCTAACCATATTCATTGGACTCCATGACGATTGAAAAACCGGGGCTTGGTGAGATGAGTCTCGATTTCAGTTAGGAAGGTTTGACGGTAGGGTTCGAGTTTAGCGAAGACCCCACGAAGCCAATTGTCAACAAGGCACTGTGCAAGCTCCAAAATGTGGTGGCTCCAAAATGTTATGAGCTGATTTTTACATGGAATGGACTGGGTCCTCTGATCCAAATGAACCGATTTATGACTGTGAATAGTTATGTTCAGCTACTTGGATATCATTTGTCATTCATGCAATTCATGTTACCAAACAATTATGGAATAACTATTTCTATGCACAACGTCACCCGGCCACAACTGTTCGCGATTGGGTTGAAGATGATTTTGAACAATTCGTGCGAATGATTTGGCCATCCTGAAGGCTCGACATGAATTCCGACGAACATTTGTGAGACAACGATAGTCGAATGAAGTCGTAGGCTTCTGCGGCCAGAGTTATGTGCGTGATCTGGGCTGTCCGGGTGACGCCGCATCGAAGGCTGTGTTGCCGACATTTCGACCATCCTGTCGTGATAAGCATACCAGCCCTGAGGAAGACAACGACAGGATGGTCGAAACGTCGGCAACACAGCCTTCGACGCGGCGTCACCCGGACAGCCCAGATCACGCACATAATAGTCATTCAGTTCGTGCACAAGATCCTCACCCGGCAACACTTACGCAACTTTGGACGACTATAGAGACAGCATGGCTCAACATTTCTCCAGGGGAATTCCAACGACTTGTAGAGACCATGCCACATCGAGTTGCAGCACTTCGCGGACAAAAAGAGATCCGACACGGAGGTATATTTCGAGGCGTGTCTAAGGTATAGTAGACATAGCGCCTGCCAAGGACGCCACTTACAAGGGGCGCTATTAATAGTATACCTGCTAAAACAAACACCCTTACACAAAAAACCTAATTTTAAATATCCTGACGGAGGCGAAAACTCTATGTTGCCATGGGCACCTGATACTTCCTGAATAGGTCTTTGGGTATCTCAATCTTTGGGTATCTGAATAGGTCTTTGGGTCTGCAATCTCGATCTTCTGCGCACGCTCAGATGCACAAAAGTAGGCTATTCGTGCACGCCATCGCGCACAGCACTATCGATCTTCTGCGCATGCGCAGATGCACAAAAGTGATGCAAAAATTAGACTGCGCATGCGCAGATGATCGATAGATCGCGGGTGCACACACCAGGAACTTTATGCATCCTCGAACGATAAAACACTATTGATCTTCTACATATGCGCAGTTCACGTTTTGCATTACTTTATTGCATCACCTAGCCCAGAAAATGGATAATATGGTCGTGCACAAAATCCCTACTGGTGCGCGACTCGAACTGCGAAGATCGAAAACGCATTCGATTGCTACGCCTCGCGAAACCTCTCTAACAAAACGCAGGGGGCCGTGGCACGCGAGTGAGTGGAAATGGCGACGCGGCAGCAGCGGGTGGCGGCGGCGGCGGAAGAGGTGCGCGGGGCGAGTGCGCAGCAGCTGAGCGGGCTGCGGCGGGAGGTGGCGGAGCTGGCGGCACTCGAGGACACCACTCGCTGCACGCTGCGGCACCTACAGCGCATGCGCGCCGACCTCGACCAGGTGCCCGCGACGCATGTGCCGCGTGTTGTTGGGCGATAGGAATAGGGTTAGAGGTCGTTCTGTCTGTGGACATTACGCTTAATTACGGGTCTTTTCTTTAACTCTAGGGACAGGAGATCTATAAAAACAAGTCTAATAAAAATCTAATCTAAATAATAAAAATATATAATAAAATTTAGTCCAATTTTCAAAATTGTTAACTAAAATTTCATCCAACTGACACGAATGTCTAAACCGTTTTGGTCTAACAGAAGGAGGTAGTTTACGTTATCATTGTGTCAGTATATTTTTGTCAAAAATGAAACCACATTATTGAGTGATAAACTATAATTCACAAAGTGTATAACGTGTATAATAAGAAAGAAGTGTTTAAGTAGTCTTTTCATTCGTTTACTGGAGTAGTCTGGAATTTTGATCTTCAAATCAAAGACGGCAGGTATACGTCGATACCTGTAATACAAGTTACCTCGACCAGGTGCCTGCGATGAACAGAGCGCGTGTCTTTGGATGAGAGGAATAAGGTTGGAGGTCGTTTGGTTTATAGATATCAGACCTAATGATACAAGGTCTATTTTTTAAGTCTAGAACTAATAAAAAGTTAGTGCAATTTAAAAAAATATCAAATGAAATTTGATCCAACAGACACGAACTATTTTGCTCTAACAGAAATGCAATACGCGTTATCATTGTGTCTAAAATCAAATAGAGTGATAAATCGTAATTCACTAATTATTATACATATGTATATAATAAGAAAAAGCGTATTACAATAATCTTCTTTCATCTACTGGCGGAGTCTGGAATTTTAACCTGTAATTCAAAGGCCGCAGGTACACGTCGATATGTCATGTAAGTTACATTGTAAGCTGAAGTATGAGAGAATCTTCAATATATTATATTATTAATGGTGCTTTTATTTCGAAACTGCTAAGTATGGTCTTTGTGTCTTGTCTATCTATTGTGTATGATCTATTGTGTTATTGCACTTTCTGTCTCGTAGTCCTATCGCGTTAGATCATTCGTCGTATTAGACATTCTGTGTCTTCTGCGCAACACCTCCTGTTATATCTGATCTACTGAGTATTAGACCTTTTCACCGTACACCTAACGATCTGAAACCCGATGACTACTAAGTCTACTGTAATAAATACCAGGGCAACGGAGGTACTTCAGCATGTTTGACATTAAAACGTCTTTAATTTTTTCAGAATTTCTTGCAAACTTTAAATAAAATTGTTTAATTTAATAAATGGTACTTTTAAAAATGTGTATTTACATGCAAATCCGAAACCTAGTTTTCAATA